GGATGGAGAGATGGCTTTCTGGATGGGAGCAGCAGGTAAGCCAACCCCTGAACGATAATGAGCATTCATTTCATAAAGAGACAGGGTTAAGGGTGTGCATGGTGGCTCACGCCTGTAATCCCAGAACTTTGGGAGGCAGAGGCGGGTGGATCACTTAAGGTCAGGAGTTTCAGACCAGCCTGGCCAACATGGTGAAACCCTGTCTCTACTAAAAATACAAAAATTAGCTGGGCATGGGGGCAGGTGCCTGTAATCCCAGCTACTCACGAGGCTGAGGCAGGAGAATTGCTTGAACCCAAGAGGCGGAGGTTTCAGTGAGCTGAGATCATGCTGCTGCACTCCAACTTGGGCAACAAAGGTGAAACTTCATCTCAAAAAAAAAAAAAAAAAGAGAGAGAGAGAGAGAGACAAGGTTAAGAGGAAAGGTTTGAGTTTGTTTTTTCTTTCTTTTTTTTTTTTTCAGACAGCGTTCACTCTGTTGCCCAGGCTAGAGGACAGTGGCATGATCTCAGCTCACTGCAACCTCCACCACCCAGGTTCAAGCGATTCTCCTACCTGAGCCTCCCGAATAGCTGGGATTACAGGCCTCTGCCACCGCGCACAACTAATTTTTGTAGTTTTAGTAGAGATGGGGTTTCACCATTTTGGCCAGGCTGGTCTTGAACTCCTGACCTCATGATCCACCTGCCTCGGCCTCCGAAAGTGCTGGGATTATAGGCGTGAGCCACCGTGCCTGGCCTAACCTTGCCCTGAGTGGAGACAGAGAAAGGCTCCCACAAAGGCTCCCATATGTAAACATCTAATTGTGTACATCAAATGAAAACAGTGCTCCAGGCAGAGGAACAGCTTTTGTGCAAAGGCCTGAAGGTGAGAAAAAATACGGGCAGTCTTTTTCTACTCCTTCTTGGTTCCTAGAAATTCAAGTGGCAACTATACACAGTGAAAGCATGCTGGCAGTAAGAAAGCAGCCTTGGGGCCACGCATGGTGGCTCATGCCTGTAACTCCAGTGCTTTCAGGAGGCTGAAGTGGGAGGACTGCTTTGAGGCCAGGAATTTGAGACTAGCCTGGTCAACATGGCAGGACCCCTGTCTCTGCAAAAAAATTTAAAATTAGCTGGTGTGGTGGCGCACACCTGTAGTCGTAGCTACTGGGAAGGCTGAGGCGGGAGGATCGCTGGAGCCCAGAAGGAGTTCGAGGTTGTGGTGAGCTTGATCAGGCTCCTTGCACTCCAGCCTGGGTGAGAGAGTGAGACCCTGCCTCAAAAACTAAAAATTAAAAAAAATTGTAAAAAAAGAAAGTGGACTTGGGGATCCTATGATCTCCAATTTCTCCACTTACCAGTTGTGGCACTGTAGGCAAGCTGGTTTACCTCTCTAAGCCTCAGTTTCCTCACCTGTAAAATGGCCCTAACACCGCCTTCCTGGGGGATCATTACTATAAAAAGAGTGTCATGAAGGGAGCGCCAGCGTGGAGCCTCATGCTCAGCAGGTGCTTGGGGAATTATGTTCATTATCACCATCCTCAGCCTGACTTTCTGGTCCTTTCTGGATGGTGTCTTCAGAAAGGGACCAAGCTGATTCCTCCCCAGGAAGTCAGGGGTCATCATGGTCCTCAGGGAGGCAGGGAGAGTCAGTAGCCCTGGGGACTCAGCCTGTCCTCTGGCCATCTTACCCTGAGGCTCTTCTCCCTTCTTCTCAGGGAAGATTCCCAAGGGAACAGCCTTGGAGGAAGGGACCTGCCTGACCCACTGGGTCTCTGGGAGCTGACGTTCCCATGCCAAGCCAATCGCGTCGCATACACACGTACGTAACCTTATTGAATCCATACAACTACTTCAGGATCCAGGTGATGATACTGAGGCTCAGAGAGGTAAAATGATTTGCCCAAGGTCATGCAGCTGGGAGAGGTGGGACCAAGATTCAACTCTCAGCTATGGTTCGGAGTGACCAGGACATACAAGGGTGTTTAAGGCATAGTCAATAACAAACATGTACACGTGTTTGGTCTAACTACTTCACATATATTAACTCACTTAATCCTTCCCAGCAACTTCAAGGGAGGTACTATGACTATGCCCATTTTATAGTAGATAAAACTGAGGCTCAGAGAGCATAAGTGACTTGGCCAAGGTACCTGGCAAGGCCCTTGAAGCCAGGCTCCTGCCACAGCCTGAGCCCTGACGACAGCTGTGTCCTCATCTCATGCATTCTCATTTACTGTTGCTGGCTTGTCCCTGACACAAGGCCTCTGCATTCGAAGTCCCCTCAGCTCGAGATGCCCTTTCCACTGATTTGCACACCCCTGGCTCATTCTTACTTGAATTTCTGTCCCATTATCACCTCCTGAGGGAGGCCCTCCGGATCCACCCTAAAGCTCCATTCTCAAGCCACCCTGCTATGCCTCGTTCACAGTTTAACACCTGTGGGGCGTTTTGTTTACTGTGTGTCCCCCTCCAGGAACAGCAGCCTCTCTGAGTCATCTCTAAATCCCCAGCCCCTGGTCTATAAATATTTGCTAAGTGGGTAAAAGTGACCGAATTATGCAGTCGCTTTCAGAGGAGGACCAGGGGCAACTTTCCACCTACCTAAAGTTCCACCTGCCTACTCTGGTCTAACGTCAGAACCTCCTCTCTGACCCTCTGCATCTCCCTTGGGTTATGAAATCTGAGCTCTGGGCAGCAAGAAGGGAAGCCGCTGCAGCTACATCTAGGAAGGTTACAGAGCAGGAACACAGCATCTCTCATCCCCGTGGGAGGCTGGACCCAGGAAACTGACAAGACTCCCAGCATGCTCTGCAGCCCTTCCTCCGTGTCAAACCCACAACCGGGCGGAATTCCCGAGTGTCCCGTGGGCTGCCGGAGAGCCCACCCCTCCAGCGGGGATCCCAGCCACAGAGAATGCCCACTGACATCCATCCAGATTCAAAGCAGTGGGAGGCTAGGAAAGGGCACGTGAGAAATAATAAAACCAGGGAAGATCCAAGCAAGCAAGAGCTAGAGGAATCCCTCCTTTCTCTCTCACATTAGTCTTCGGATTGAAGTGCATAAAACTTTTTAAGTAAAATATTCAACAGAGTTCAAAATGAACATATAAAAACGTTTACAGAGAAAAAGCTCACCCTCCCTTCATCCTTTCCACTCCCCCCCGCAACCCCCACCAAGTATGTATTAGTACTTCCTGGTGGATTCTTCCCGTTTGCAAATATAGCAATTACAAATGTATAATCTTATTTTCCCCTTTTTACATTTTCTATTTCTTTTTACTTTGCAGCTCCAGCTCAAAGGATCCTTTTTTAAAAAACAGATAAAAGGGTACCATATTATATATGCTGAGCCACACCTTTTACTTCTCTAGTTGGATATAATTCTATATTTCTACACACACACAGATACAGATATAGATGTATAAGTGCATGCATACACACAGCAGTTATTAATGGTTTTCTGCAATTTTCATCCAGTTCTCCTGGAAAGGGGTATTTAGATTGGGGGGTCAAGAGGGGTTGCTTTTCAGCTGACACACAAACAGCTGGGCCACCCTCTCTTGGTGATCAATACTGGACGCTGGTTCTCTGCACTTGAAGCAGATGCCAGGAGCTAGCTCTTTCCCAAAATA